AATTAACAAGAAAACTTAGGGTAACAAAATTGATACCTAAAATAATGATTTCTACTTTTGAAAACCCTAAAATGAAAAAAATTAGAAAATTAGGAATAAAATTTTTAAATTAAAATTTTACACTTTAGCCCAATATTGTTCCCCAATTTGGTTTAAAGACATTAAACCAACCCTGAAGCTTTGATCTTAAGGGGTTAACATCATGGTTACTCTTTTAACCATGAAATAACCTTAGTAGCCCTAGACTAGACTAACCTGATTCAAGCCTAAACTTGGTTTATGTCTAACTTGGTTTATGTAAAATTTTAAAATTAAAATTGTACACTTTAGCCCAATATTGTTCCCCAATTTGGTTTAAAGACATTAAACCAACCCTGAAGCTTTGATTATAAGGGGTTAACGTCATGGTTACTCTTTTAACCATGAAATAACCTTAGTTGCCCTAGACTAACCTGATTCAAGCCTAAAGTTGGTTTATGTCTAACTTGGTTTATGTAAAATTTTAAAATTAAAATTTTACACTTTAGCCCAATATTGTTCCCCAATTTGGTTTAAAGACATTAAACCAACCCTGGAGCTTTGATCCTAAGAGGTTAACATGATGGTTACTCTTTTAACCATGAAATAGCCCTTAGTAGCCTGGGCTAACCTAATTTAAGCCTAAACTTGGTTTATGCTTAACTTGACTTAGCCTAATATAGGTGAACCCATAATTAGACCCAATCCAATTAAGGTCAAGCCTGGACCACAATCCAGCTTGAGATGGCTCAAACTTAACTTAGGTTTATCCTTAGGTCTAGTCCAGAGTAGACTCAAGTTAGCCCCAAACCTTTTTTAGGTCCAACCTTCATTGGACCTAAACCCATCCCCTTAGTCTAACCTAACTTAGATTTAGTTACCTCTTTATGTCTAATCTATATTAAACCTAAACCCAACCCCTAAGTTTAACCTTACTTAAGCATAGTAAACTTTTTAGGTCTAACCTACATTAGAGCTAAAACTAAACCTAAGTATATCCTAACTTAGACTTAGTCATCCTTTTAGGTCTAACCTATATTAAACCTAAACCTAAACCCTAAGTCTAACCTAACTTAGACTTAGTCCCTTTTTTTAAGTCTAATCTACATTATATTTCAACCAAACCCTAGGTCTAACGTAAACTAGAACTAGCCTAACTTTTATGTCTAATCTACATTAGACCTAACCTAAACCCTAGGTTTAACCTAAATTATACCTAGCCCAACCTTTAGGCCTAACCTAATACCTAGGTCAAACCAAACTTAGACCTAGCCCAACCTTTTGTGTCTAATTATTATTAGACCTAAACCAAACCCTAGGTCTAACCTAAATTAGATCCAGTCCAACCTTTTAAATCTAACTCATATTAGACATAACCCAAACCCTAATTCTAACCAAAATTAGATCTAGATCAAACTTTTGGGTCAAACTCATAGTAGATCTAACCCATCCCTATGTCTAACCTAAATTAGACCCAGTCCAACCTCTTACGGTCTGACTTACTTTAGACCTAACCCATCTCTTTAGCTTTAGTCAACATTAGTCTAACCCTAAACTTTAGGTCTTGTCAAAATTAGACCTAACCCTAAACACTAGATCTAACCTAACTTAGACCTAGCACAATCTTTTTAGGTCGAACTCATATTAGACCTAACTTCAATCCTAGGTCTAATTCAACTAAGACCTAACCCAAACCTTGGGTCAAACCTAAATTAGAGCTAGTCCAATGTGCACCTTTTAGGTCTAATCTATGCTTAAAATATCAACTATTCTAAGTCTAACCTAACGTAGACTTAGTTCAACTTGAAAATTCCTTAGGTCTAAATCTAACCTAAGTTACTTAACTTGGGCAACCAAATTTAAATTCTCATGGGACTAACATAATTTGTACTCATATCAACTAAACCACTGGGACAATCCAACCTAACTCGGGTTAACCCTATTCAACTAAATTATTGGGTCAACTCTACATAACTCTGATTAACCCAATTCAACTGAACCAGAGGGTCAACCCGACCTAATTTGGGTGAAACCAACTCAAGTAAAGCATCGAGTCAACCTGACCTAACTTGGGTTAACCCAATTCAACTAAACAATTGGGACCTAACTCGGATTCAACTTAACCTTCGATTCAACTAGATCTAACTCAGCTTAACCCAATTTAACCCAATCATCGTGTCAAATCGACCTAACTCAGGTTAACCTAATTTGATTAAAGCACTAGGCCAACCTGATCTAACTCAGATCGACCTAATCTCCGGGCCAGCCCGACCTAACTCGAGCTAATCCACAATCAACCCAACCTACTGGGAAAACCTGACATAACTAAGGCTAACCTAAAGATAACCTTTCTTCAGGACAATCAACCTAAACTCTGATCAACCCTACTTGAGACTCAAATTCAATCATGACTAAAGTCTCAACCTCAGTTTAATCAAGGATCGATTTCAGTCTAACGCAACTTAGACTTAAATAGATAACTCAAGTATAAACTAACTTGGAATTTAACCAAGTCTAAATTAACTTAAACTTTAATCAACCTAGGGATTTTAACTAGAATCAGTCCAATTCAACCTGGTTTATTCCCATGTTAATCCGATTTAGTATAACTTAGCTTACCTTAAGTCAATCTAAAGCAAATAAGACTAGTAAGACCCCAATCAATCCTATTAAACTTTGGTCGATTTAAAAAAGTTTGAAGAAAATTTGAGGGACAACCAACCTAATTTAGGTTAGCTCAGATTATCAGGAGACTTACTTTAGATCAGTTCAACCAAACTTGAACTAATCTAAAATCAACCTAGACCTAGGTCTAGGTGACTGGAGGTTAAGCAGGGTTTAACTTCTCATACAAGAATAAAAGCACATTTAGCCTTCGTCAGGAATAATTTGGGATAAGACAAAAAGACAACAAACCAACCTAAATGAAATGACATAAAAGTTCACTTTAAAAGACATTAAAACTTAAACTTGAATGAAAAAAATGCAACCTGATTTAAGAAGATATTTTGAAGAAGGCAACCCATGGCTGCTAACAAAATATCTTTCATTCACTTGTGACTAATCAAAATACAGGCCCCAATGATCCCGGGACAACAAAACCATGGGATCTTGATTGGGTCATCTCAAATATTAAAATTTGAACACAAAATAATAAAATCAAATTAATAATCGCCTAATAAGTCTTAAGCAACCAAAATTTTCAACCCCTAAAATCTGAAAAAGACATTAAAACTTATATGAAACCCCAATGAACAAAGATCACTAAAAGAAAATTGAAACCTAGATACCCAGGCCTACAAAGATTTCTTGAACGACGCAACCCATGATTGTTGACAGGAATCTTCCGGTCCAAGCATATTTGGCCACCTCTCAGGCTAAGTAGATAAAAAAACTCAACAATCCCGAGATGATGGAAAGGCATTGGCATCGTAATCGGGTTGTCTAACAACCAACCAATTAATCCAAAATTATCTATTTTGCAGGACTACATAAGACAAAAGGCAATCTTCATCCAAGATTTACTTTGCAAGTTATTAAAGTGTGCTAACACTGTTTTACAGGGACGGGCATTCAAAATAAGGAGCAAAAGGATGAACCGTAACTAAACTATCGATGATAAAACAAAACTCTAGGATAGTTTGGAATCTTTAGGAATCTGTTACCCTTAGGATTGGACTTTGACACTCCTTTCCATGACAACGACATTTAAACTTTTAAGAAAAAATTATAACCTTAATATGAAGATTTCTTATGCTGTCTTGACTACTTAAGATGTAATTAACTATAGGGACTTATCCTTATAAGAAGACGCAAATTCTAGAACAGGTACATCAGCCTAAATTCTCTTGTAGTTAGCTTTCATAAGGCCTCCTTCGTAGTTTTGTCTTTAAAGCATACCGATTTGATCTCACTTTGGACTTATGCTTTGGAACTATCAATGCGAAAATTCACTTTATAAAAGCTACCCGTATACTTCTTTTATTTGTTCCCGTTATTGTCTGCCCTAGTCCTCTAATTTCTCATATCTTAGTACACCTACATGATCTGAGATCTAGAATTATTCGGAGAAAAGGCAACATAACGAAAAAAAAAACTGGCTACTCCTCAACGACAATGATGACATCAAGCAAACGACAAAATGAAGATGGCGACACAAAAAGGATCAGCAACACAGGGAAAATTTAGAAAACCCAGGAATCATCACATTACCTAAATCATAGGGACGCGAGCCTCACATACTTAGAAGAACAGTAAGATTTATCTTCCACTGTTTGTCATCTTTTCCGAACATGTTATTTTTATTATCACTTTCAAGTATGACTTTAGAAAATCATCTCTTGTTCGTGATCATGCTAAACTAGGTTTAGAAATTTAGTATATTGATACGAGACATTCTTTAAATAACTGCATTTTTATTTGACATGTGTAATTGCGCTGTGCGGCCGACTTATTTTGCTTCATAAAATCAGCACGTAAAAACTTTTTGTGCGGCTGACTTATTTGACATGTGTAAGTTTCAGCACGTAAAATCACAAAAAAGTGAATTTTTTTTTTATTTTTCTTTTGGGAAAAACAAAAGGGACTCTTAGTATCTAATGGGCAGTTATTTCCCGCACATTTATACTTTAAATTCTACTTATCATAATAGGTGAAAATACAAATAAGTTTTTACACATATTTTAGATCATAATTTAAAATTTTAATACATATATGCCAATTAATATTATCTTATTAGACCACATTAATCATACTTGACTTCAAGGTACCATAATTAATAACACATTTACATATGTTGGCCCACATAAACAAATACTTTAGTTATTTTCAAACAACAGAGATGGATGTCTATTGAATTAAATTCTGAATTTGCTAAAATTAAATCCCAAATTTTTTTCCTAAATTAAATAATTAATTTGAAAAAAGAGATCACGTTAACAACATGAGCTCAAAAATATTGAAGCACGACTCATAAAACATACCACTTGCAAAGCTCCATTGTAGTTTCCAGCAACTCCAGTAGACAGCACATCAAGCGTCATCGCCCTTGACACAATGCCAGAGAACATTGTGCACCATTGATTCTAAATAACAGCAAAATTATTAAATCTAATAAAATCTCAAATTCACAAAAAATATAAATAAATAAATAAATAAATAACCACTAATAAATTATTTCTTTACACAAGAGGTTCACACTAAATGCACAATCCGCGTGTCATTATACATTAGTTTATGTACGTTCATATGAATCAAACATATAAGCGCTTTTTTTTTAGACAAAAGCTAGAATAAGGGAAAAAAATGCTGTAAAATAGTAAATTATGGTTGTATATTTTTAAAATTATAAAAAATAGTTACTATTTTGGCCTTATATTTATGTTTTATGAAAATGTGAATTTTTCCTCATATGATTAGAAGTTCGCTACATTTCATATTAAATTTTAGACAATGTTCATCAGATTTTTATTCAGAAATACATTTAGAGTCAAATATTAACAGTAATGTGAACATGAAATTCAATAGTGTGACAAAACTATATTTAATAGTGCATAGGGCCTTTGTCCCTCAAGTCAAAGATGCAATGGATTATCTTCTTCTATTCATACCACCTATATATTATTGGATTTGTTGGGATGCAGATTTCTTACGGCTATAGTAAGAACTTACTTCTAATTATACCAAAGATATTATATAAAGATAAGCATTTAACAAAACTAATATTTTATCAAAATACTTGAACCATTTGAATAAACCAACTTGGACCTCACCGCATCCATGAGAATCTCAACAAGATTAACATGATTCATGATGACCACAGCAGTCTCCCTTGAAGCTTCGGACCTCAATCCAAAGGGATTTGGTCCAATCCCTCTTGGAAAATTCTGCATGTACTCTTCCTCATTGAGAGTACTTGTAGCTCCGTCTGGTCCAGGACTCCATAAAGGCTCTCCAAGCTGGGCCATTCTGATGAGTTCCTCCATGGCAGTCACCGCCAGCTCAATCACCAGCGGCTTGTCGATCTCTGGCTGGCCAGAAACAGACCTTAGGAACTCACCGGATCGATAAATATCACCTCCGGCGAGGCCTGTCGGCTGAACTGTGCTGAATCCACCAATGCCGAGGTCTAAAGGAGAACGAGAGGTGCTGGAGGGGGAGAGGAGGGGGAGAGAGCCCATTGGTTTCCCTACGTATTTTGCTGCTATGCCTGATATCCTGTCAATCTTCATGCAAGAGAATCACAAGTGAGAAAGAAGAGAATAAAAAATTAAAAGTCATTTTGGATGAAATTCAGTAGTGTGTTAGCCAAATATAGTATTATTTTCTTTAATCAATGTAAAAATAAGTAGAAATTAAGGGCGATTTAATTAATTTTCATTTCAATAAAAAATTTTCGGCACCATAAAATAATCTGACATATTGGAGCCACAATAGGTAGTTGACTACATCAATAACGTAATTATTAATCAAATACATTAATTTAAAAAATTATTAATAAATCATTAACGTGTCAACAAATCAAACAAGATCTCTAAATTACCTACATATCGAGTTAAAGTAGTAGTATTCAACAAATAAATAAAACTGTATATTGGATGCATGTGAGTATATAGATAATAATTAAAGCCACATTTTGTAATTTATAACACATAATATAAAAGAACGACTAAATCAAAGGCATAACATTCAATAAAATTTGCAGGTTTCCGGCCATTACCTCCTCTCTTAGCCTCCCATTCTCAATTCTGAGGTGATGTTCATCGAAGGACATCTCACCCAGGGCGGCTGGGCCGCCGCAGGTGGGGCACGAGGCATTGCTTAAAGCTTCCTTGTATCGGAGGTTCTCTGTACGAAGCCTCTCGTTATCAGCCCTTAATTGTCCATTCTCTTGTCTCTCATGCTGGGTCTGAGGAGGAGAAGAAGAAGAACTAAAAATATATATATATATATATATATATATATATAGCTCAATATAAAAAAAAACGTGTTCATATTGATATCCTTAAGTGGCGTGATAAAACTAAATATAAAATGCGTACCACCTAATTCTTAGACATTCACATATCTAGCAGATAAGCTTTACATGTTTTACATTTATACCACACAAATCTTTCATATCACAAAAAATACAACAATTTTGAGTGAAATACACATTTTTTCATCTATAGTTGAGATAAAAATTGTAATTCAGGTGTTACATAGATAAATACATAGAAATTAATCAGTATGGTTAAGTCTTCCTTTTTTTTCTTGTTAACAAATGACCAGAAACAGCAACGTTTCGCATTTATTTATCATTAAAAATTCACCAATATTTTTGTTGCATTTTTTGCAACTAACAATACATATTAATGAAGACAATTGAGACAGGATAAGCTAATTAATTTTTTGTTCACGATACCTATAATTCAAATTAATTGTATTTACTTTAAATAAATATGATATAGATTTAGTTGATGGCTGGCATATCATACCAATCTAGTCACATTTAGGAAAATCAAGTTACCAATCTAGATCACAATTGGAAAACGTCAGCGTCTTTTACAATTTCGGAAACACAATTTTCAATAATCTGGCGATAAGTGGGTGGGTACCAAACAGTGACAGTGAGGCGGCGTTTTGAAAACGTCGCCCGCACTTATAAGCTGTCCTAAACGGGCTCTAAATCCTTATTTACAATTAAGTAATAGTTATATTTCCTTGCACCACCAAAATTACATTAAAAAATATTATTTTTTTTCTCATAACTTAACGTAATGTGAATTAAAATTAATATACAGCCTTCTGCTTTCTTTAATGAGTAGTAACTACCGCAAAATATTCTGAATGGGTTTTCATTGGGATTCCAGACCTTCATTTGTGTACGCTTGTTCTGAAACCAGAACTTGACTTGCAATGGCTCTAACCCTAGCTCCCTGCTCAGTTCCTTCCTTTGCTTGTCATCTGGATGAGGACATTCTTTGAAGAAACTGGAGATAAATCAACAGCAAATACTTAGCAAACATCCGCATTAAAACCAAACTTGTTGAACAAATTTACGGGCGTCGATCTTACTTCTCCATCTCTTGAATCTGGTGCTGTGTGTGCCGATGATACCTCTTCTTCCTCGGCCGCTGGTTAGGATCTTGTTCGTCACCGGATGCGCCTTCAATGTTCTCGCTACCGGATTTGCTCTCTAAGTCGTCTTCTCCAGCTCTCATGATCTCGCTTTCCGCCGTCGTGGTTGGCGGAGTATGCACTTCTATGAGCTGGTGTTGGAATGGGAGCTGCTGAGTTTCTAATATGTCGGTCTGCATCTTAAAACAAGAACATGATATTATGAAGTGAATTAATTAGCTAAAAGTTTTATTTTTTTTTAAATCTAAGCTAAAAATGTCATTAACCGATTTCAGAATACATCATAAATCATAAGACAGTTCTGAAGCAGTAAAAGTTCAAAAAATGTTTGAAAAAAGAAGTCAGACAGTTTGTCATACAAGTCTCCAAGATAAGCAAGTCAAGGCAAATAAAAACCGAATTAACTGTAATTTTCTTTTGGATTTGAGCGGTCATATTGGACAGAATTAATGCTATATTAAAACTTATGCTCACTGAAATTATTTATTTTTTTGAATAGGGAAGAGTTAGAGAAGTAAAAACCTCATTTTTTTCCTGGTCTAGAGGGACTTGAATAAGTAAAAACAAGTAACAAAGAGTACCTTCATATATAGAGATTTCTAGTTAAAGGATAGTTTTAAAATTCTTTTATATTAATTAATATTAACATAGTATTAGTACTAAGCTCTATTTACCTGAATCTCTTTTTTCCTTAGTAGCTCAGATCTAGGATTAACTTTTGCTTATAATCCTTCAAACCTTGCAAATCGAAGGAAAGTGAAGAAGAAGAAGAAATTATATGATGGTTTATATCTGCTCATGCATGGAGGGAAGGAAACAAAACCTCTCCCTCCATCTTTCTCTCTCTATTTCTCCCTCTTTATTTCTCTCTCTAAAAGTATAAGCAGGCTCTGATAGAAGAGCTATAGGTGACTACCATGACACTGCACATCCACGCGGTTCACACTTACCGAGGAGTTTTTAGGACAAAACAAGTCAAAAAAGCCAGATCTTTAACAAACTAACAAATCTACTTAACAAACTAAAAAGCAAAATTAGAAGAACTAATTGCATTTCCAACCTTAACTGCATGAACCAACTCTGTAAAACAAAAGTTTCCTTCGACGTAGATATCAAGTGATGAAACTTTATTAAGAGGAAAAAAACAAGCTTTGACTCCGCTACCTGCCCAAGAGTCAGCGCCGATGAGTTGCCGAAGCTCATTCCGGAGTTCCTACCGACCAACGATGACATGTGTCTCGCCGGAATCATGATGCCGGCGGGCATATTTTAGCTTCACAAAACCCTAACTTCTTCCTTCTTCTAAAGAGACCTCAGTTTAGAGAGAGAAGATCCAAAGAGACATGAAGAAAGAGAAAAGGAAAAAAAAAGAAAACAACTTGGAGAGCTAAGATCTATAAGATACTGGCTTTATGTCTCCTTCCTTTCAGTCTCTTGCATCTAAATGCTTGAAGAAAAATAAGGAAAATGATGTCTCTCTTTACGGTGGAGAAAGAAGATCGGTGTTGAAGTCTATGCAGTAAGAAAGATTGAGATGGTTTTGAGAGAAGCCATGGAATGTAAGAGGAGTTGCAGAGACAAAAGGGGAAGAAGAAAGGTTGGAAAGGAGGAGGTGGAAGAAGGGGAACAGCTGGAGAGGGTGTGGAAGGAGAGGAGTTATTGCAAAGCGTATTGAGAGGGTGCAATTGCATTTATTGAGAAGTGGTGTTACTGCATGAGTGAGAAAGAGAGAGAGAGAGAGCTTTATTTTTATTTTTTTTTTAATTTTTTGTGTTCGGCTAGAAGGTGTATGATCTAAATGAGATGACCACCACAACCTCTAAAGGTTAATATTAGTAGCAGTAACGTGTAAGACGCACCGTGTATTAGCGTACCATGCCTCCCTCCGAGCAAGTAATGGGAGCGAATAAATACTAATTAAAATAAAATTAAAATTAAAATTTTAATTTTTCGAATAAATAAATGAGATTAAATGAAATAGTCACAATTACTTATAAATAAAAATATTTGTTTTAAAAAAGTTATTATGAATGTGCATATTAGTTTGTGTTCATTTCTTCTTCATTATATCGAACTCTTTGATAATTGATTTCGCACTGAAACTCACTGCAACATCACTTTTAAAATATATCATTAGTGATGTGGTAAGCAAAATTATTTTTCGTTGAATTTTGTAATATTGTCTTAACAATATTCATACATAAAAAAAATGAATGTTCAATTGTTTTTGTGAAAGTTGACCGTGTCAACTTCAGTATAATCGAACAATCAATAATAAAATATATTATTGATTTTTTTTTTATTTTAGCTAACACTTAATATAAATTAGAAATTATAGAGAGATTTTGAAAATTTTTATTCTAACTACTTCAATTTGAAATTATTGCAATTTAATTTTTAATTGTAGTTTTCTTTATTCCGTGAATTCTTCATAATAAAAATTTTTTGCAAGTTAATAAGTATCATCAATTTTATGTGACCAATATCCTTCACAAAGATTCATTGCATTATTAAGAATCTATAATTCTACGATCTATTTGTGCCGGAAGATTTGCAATGATTGTGTAATAATTTAGCGTATTAGCGTTGAACGAAGATCCAACACAAATATGGATAAAAGAAAGGTAAACAAGAGGGGATACCACAATTTTTTTTACTTGAAAAATCCTCTAAAGGGATAAAACCATGAGGCCTAGGTGTTGCCCTCATTTTTAAAAGAGGTCCTCTCTCTCTAGAACTTGTGGATTGACCTTAGGGTTTTCTAGTGGCTTTTCCTAGAGATCTAATAATTAGACTAATGTCAACTAGAAATTTATACATTTCTTGATGCTTTATAGTTTCATATGTTTGACCTTAAATTCCCAATCCTTAGTTGAGTTGATTAAGGCCAAATCTATTGAAGAATACGTTGAGTATTTATATGTTTGAAATGTCTTAAGCAACGTCCTTTTGACCTTAGTAACTTATGTCTTCTATTTGGTTTTTATTTGAGGCACTTCTCTCATTTTTCACCACATTTAGATAACTCCTTTAGCTTGTAAAGAACATACTTGAATATGAAGTTCACTTTAAGCTAGGAAAGAGGATTGTCTTTTAATAAGGAAGAAAAATTATTAACTCACAAAAATCTTAAAAATGAAATAATATTCATCAAGACAAGTCATACAAAAATCAAAACAATTGAAATTTTCATACATCATAAACTAAATTTTCAAAATTCAAAATTATTTTTTTTAAATTAATCAAAAAATTGAAAATTCCAAAAATCATTTCAAAATAAAATAAAATTTTAAAAAATCATAAAAAAATTGTAAAATAAGAAAATATAAATAAAATTTTCATAAATTAAATAAAGCAAAATAAAATTTTAAATTAATTCAATAATCACATTTTATTAATGAAAATTAAATAAAAATTTTAAAATATAATAAAATGGCATTTTTATCAAAATATTTTCCACAATTTTCATTTTATTCTAAAATTTCACCTAAAAATTTTATTTCAAAATAGGTTTTTCAAAAATTAACAAAATATTTAAAAAACATTTAAAAGCACTACACAATTTCTTCTAATTTTCAAAACACATTAATTTATAAAATAAAATAAAAATCACCAAAAATTGCACCCACTCTCACAATTATTCGCTTTTTAATCTTTCCAAACAAATGCTTATCCTTTTAAGCCCCATATTTGCACAAACAAGTTCACCAAAATTTGGCATTAGGACTTCTTGACCACCTACTTGCCAAAACTTCCAAATCCAAGCTACTTTGAAGCCAAGCCGCCACCAAGCCTACCTCAAACCACCTTTTCCAATTCATTCTGCTCCTCTCCAAGCCTCATTTCTATCTTTGCAAGTCTTCTGATCAATTCTAGGAAATTAAAATTTAATTATGATCCCTACAAATATTTTGGAAGCTATGGATCAAGAAGAACTTCATCGAATCGAGGCATGTAACTAAATTTCCATTTTTAGTATTGAGTTTGGATGTTTTGTGAAACAAATATGCATTTTAGTTCATATTAACTGATACATAGATAGGATTTGGGTAGACAGTCATTTTGACGGTGATAGTTTCTCAATCTATGGGCTAAGTAAATTGATCTGTGTGTTTTACCTTGCATGAAAATTAATTCATCAACCCTGTAGATACGATGAACCGATGTTGTACAATCTTTTGTTTATATTTTGGATGGCTCGGATGATCACGTGATGAAGTGGCGATGTTTGAGGCATGCACTTGGATTTTTACAGGGGATATCTGACATGGAAGGCCTTTAATGGTTAGCTGCTGAATGTGAAGGAGACGCAAGGAAACAGGATGTACATGTGGCAATGTGCTTTGATGACTTGGACTGTCATGTAGGATTTAAAAATAGTTAAAGAAATCAAAAAATATAAATAAACTTTAAAAATTCTTAATTAATTAAAGAACAATGATAAAAATCTGAAACATTAAAAAAAGGAATAAATGAAAATAAAATCAAACAACAATTACCCTAAATAAATTTTTATTTGAATCACAACAAAAAAAATAAATGAAAATCATAAAAATAAACTAAATCATAATTTCTTAGAATTTGAACCACTAAAGGTTCTTAACCTCATGTCAGTCATCAACATGGGAAAGATTAACTAGGAATAGTTAATTTCAGAATCCAAAAGGAGAAAACTAGGGGATGTTACGAATCCCAAGGAGAACTTTGGTGATTTCCCAAGCTATCCTATGGTTTGGATTCAGTTTTGGAGAAATATTATTAGATGTTTCATCCTACCAATTTTATTATTTAGGGATTACACTTACATGACACGGTCATACAAATGGCCTGGACGATAGGAGGGTTTATGTCATAACAAACGATAACCTCAGAGCCTGAAGCGATTTAAGGCTTATATTGCATAACATGACTGTGCAAATGCCTAAAGATAAGTTGAGAATTTATACAATACTAAACGAGCTACCTTGAAGTCCTATGGCTTGTTATTAATTCTAAGAAATGATTTGTTTTAGTAGATCTATTTGCTCTCTCGAAGTTCTTCTTATGTACATTGTTGTCACCCTGCCCACAGAGTTAGCTCCAAGCTCCTCATCAAAGTGACAGCTCTAGGTAAGAACTTATAGTTTTGCAGTTTAAGTGTCAGGTTTTGTTGTTGTTGTTGTTCATGTGTCTTTAAAGGGAGGATTTTAACTTAATTAGAGCGACACCAATTAGGATCCAACGGTTCATGTGTCTTCCGACATCACTTTTTTTCTCTTGAATTTACTTAGTCTAAACGAGTTGTTAAGCTCATTTAAACTGGAGAACTCCCATTAGTAACCATAGGTTACCTCGTACGAGAAATCCTCATAAACCAAAAAAGAGTGTATTATGTTCATTCATTGTTTTGAAAGTGTAGATTTAATTTTTAAAAAAAAATGTGTTTTTGTAATTTTTCAGTTTTGGTTTAGTTTTGCATATAAAGTAAATAAATGCAGGTAGAAAATAATGCAAGGTAAATAAGTGAAATGGCAATGCATAAAATGTAAATGCATACTTGGTCCTCTGCTACTGCTGCATGGTTAGCATCATAAAACATAATATATTTGCAAGAAACTTAAATAAATCACAAGAAAGTAAACAGGAACATCCTGTATGGGAAAAGTCTAAAAACGAGTTGTAAGAAAACACTTGTAATTAGAACAAAATACGTAGTCACATATGAAAGACTAGGACTAGGTGTAAGACATTGGTAAAGGTGGGGGCTCAAAGCTAGATTGTGTGCTTCGCAACCTTGAGTAAGAGCTACCAACTCGATAATTTAAGGAGGGTAGTCCTAACCTTGATTTAAGTGATTAACCGTGGACCTTTATAATTTTTCATTTTTTATTTAATTTTCATGCATATAGAATTTACTTTAACATGCAAAAGTAATTTCATTTTTTAAACACTTTGCAAAGTAGTGTAGTCCACAGGATACTTATTTTGATTGAGCTAGGACTACGGGCAACCTAAGAGTATCGAAGGCAACAATCTCATCAAGAGACAGTGAATAGTATCGTTGATCCTTATACTCTCCCTTTATTGAAGGTTATTTAGGTAGGAGATACTATTCTAAATCTCACGGCGTATGTGATATACCTAAAATATATAGTATTTTTAGACACATTTTTATACTTATTTTTGAGATATTGTGCTTTAATTATAACTATTTTTGAGATATTGTGCTTTAATGGAAGGTATTTGTGTGTTTTTCTTTCAAGTACAAGTAAGAAGTTGAAAAATGCTAAAAGGAGTGAAAAAGGATCAAATTTGGAGCATAAAGTGAAAAAATGTGCAAAAGAGTTTTGGTGCCTAAGAGCCG